CATAAAAGCAAAGACATATAATTTATAACATAGGGATCTCCAGATTTTGATCTTGTCAAAACTTACCATAACAAGTAATCACACTCAATAGGCAAAAGCTGAAAGAACTTTATCAGCCTTAACTAAGAGGTAAAAGCTTGCAATGATCTTATTAGTTCTCATCTTTCCTACAAGAAAATATTTCTATGTCCTGCGGCTTCGTAACAGTTTGACTGAGGGGTCACAGGATATTAGTCTGATTTCTTCTATATCACTAACTACAGATTCTCTTCCAATTACTTCTGTGCAAAATTGCATAGTCGTAACCAAAACATACTTCTGATCTTATCATCACTTGAAAGCATCACAAAATGAAAAGTTTAGTATTAAACGTAGTGGCTTGTTCTGCTGATCTTTCTCACATACAGAGCTTCAGTGTACATACACACACGCTCTTAATCTTACCTCTTTCTTTATATTAAGGGCAAGCACCAGTGTTGTTCTGCACAATCCACATTTCAGTTTGAGAAGTGGGGATGTCCAAAACCAAGTTATTGCATGGTGGTTTCAGTGCTTTTTTTTTATTAGAAAAGCATTACCTCTACTTTAGAAGTGAATTATTTACTATGTGCTGCACACAAAATCTCCAGCACATTTTCCACTCCGAAATCCCGTACCACCACAACTTCTCTTTCCACACGTTACAGCACATGCTCATGAGTGAACTTGTCTCATTTGATAACTAGACGGCTGCCTGTAGAAGATCCCCACCAGTGTTCCTTTTGTATTCAAGGTTCAGGGTTTTTTGCTACCAATAGCTCTCTAACAGGACCTACAAGCTTTCGTAAAGCAGCACCCTCAGAAGACAGCATCTGTTCTACCTGTTATGTTCTTGTTCATGTTCCCACCATGAAAATCAGTCCACTTGGTCTCCACTAATCAATGAGAATAGGCAACTTTTCATTTTGGTCTTTCTACCAAGGCTTCTCAATGGTATATAAGGAATTACATTTGCAATTGCACTTTACAGACTTTGTTGAGTTATGGCAACTTATTCATAACCTAAGAGCTTCCAGTTTTTACCACAGTTGCTTTTAGAGTCTTACAACTTCCTTTGCCCTCCCAACTAATTTCGCCTATTAAGAGAAACTGAGCTGAAGACTGCTTTGCTCATGCTGCTTCTCTCTTTCTCCCTTGCTAGGATGCACCCCTGTGCTCTACAGACCACAACCTGCAGGGTCAGTTCTGCAAAACTCTTGATGATTAGGTTCTAGCATTTCAGTTCAGTCTTCTCTCATTTCTGAGATGGCAAAGAACCGAAAGGACGATATTTAGATACTCCTTTTCTTCTCAGAGCCATTCAGATTTCCATAACTAGTGTAGTTCTTTAAAACAGCTTGCAGTTATGGAAAGGTATCACCACAAGAGGAGACCTGTCATCATACAATCCAGTTTTTCAGTTATTTTCTTTATTGTTGTGTTTAAGACAAGTGCCCTTTGTAGAATTTTCTGTCCCTTCTTGGGCAGCAATAGCTTTCTTCCCAGAACAGCTGATTAAGTTCTCTTTTTAGTTGCTTGCTTCTTACAATATGGATATCCATCAGGTTTGCCCTTGTAGAGGATGATCGGTCTTACAGAGAAAGTTCCCCACTGAATGACTGTTAAACAATCAATATTTCTAGTTGGGTGGAAGGAAACCTGGTTCGCTTTTCCCTCCTGCTCACAAATCACCACATTAATTCTTTTCTTTCTGCTCTCCCCAGTCCTATAAAATCAATCTTTTCCCTTGTGGCAGGCCTGAACAAAGGTTTCAGCAACCAGCTGTCTAATAAACAATTGCTTCGGATGCTGCACAGTGTTAAAGTCAGTATCCCCACACCAATTTCCTTCTCCTCTGCCAGGTCTCCCTGCTTCTAACTCAAGAAAGAGAGATCACATTTATCCTTTGGCAGAAAAAAAATAGAGTGTATCCAATGCAGGTAACTGCAGTAACTCATTATGCATCCATATTCCTAACAGAATGTGGTATCTTTCTTGTGTTGAAGGGAACCAAATACCCTCACTTGCCATTTCCCTAAAGCATCCTCTACAAACCACAAAGATTTAGAGTTCTTACATCCAATGTTTTTTGCACTTCTTCATATTTGTGCACTAAAAGGGTGCTCATTGATTTAATAAGCCAAGGTCTAGAGAGATCTATAAATATAAGAATTTTACCCTAATGTATTATTGCCCTGATGCCCAAGACTGAACTTCTGCTCCTTCACAGATAAATTGCTTCCTCACTGGTTAACACCAGCTTCCATTAGCAAGAGTGGTGGCAGACATATTTGGGAAGGTGATCCATGATAAAACACAGCTTCATGTCTTTTTTTGTTTTCCCTTTGATTTCTCTACTCACCACATCCCACGCTCCTCCTTTCCCCACCCGGCTCTACTCAGAAGAATCAATAACTTATTCTTTATCACTGTTAGCTAAAAAGTTATCATTGGGCCTCACTTAAAATCTACAGAAGTCAGTGCGGTGACATGCATCAAACACAGCAGGCTTAAGATTACAATTGCCAAAATTGCCTTCTAAAATGCAGTCTGAAACAATTTGTTAAGTCTCTTACAGGCTTATAATTATGTTGGCTAATGATAATTTTACTTATAGCAGTAATAGAAGTGGGGGGTTCTCGATGTTTCAGTCCTAAAGTACAAAAGATTCTGTACATTGAGTTACTCTGTAACTTCCCAAATGTAAAATATAGTGCTTGCTGGTCTATACTTCTCTTTGCATCCAACAGCAAGTGAATGCTTATGGCTTTCTCTTAACTATGTTGTGCAAAGTTTTATTTAGAACAACTATTTTTCAATAACTCCTAAGTGTTGACTTGTCCAGCTGAATTGCTCCCAAAATGCTTAACTGTGATGCAAAGTTAAAAGGAAAGGGAATGTTTCTCCCCAAAACATGTCCAACATTATTAACCACTGCATTCCCAGCACAATAGCCAGTGCCATCCTGAGAATAAAAAATCCTGAGATGCTTTTTGATAAAAGCATCACCTGTTCTTTCACTGTCTGCATTACAGCACGTATAGCCATGTTGTATCCTTCACCTTGCGTGCCTGTGCCAGCTCCTCAGCTGTTGGCGTGCAAAACCAAGCACGTGGCAGCTGCAGGCAGCAGCATTTCCTAACCCTACCTTTCACCCTCTTTTCTGAGCTACACCTGAAGGTTTCTGCGCCTGCCTCTGACTTTGTGAGAACAGTTCTCACTCTGAATTCACGCAATATATGCAACGTCACAATGTCATATTAAAGTCACATATAACTTCGTGCCTGAGAGTTTTAACATCAAAGAAACGATTGCCAGATCATGGATTGGATTACTTTCCATTAGCTCAGTGATGTGATAACCTCGTGTTACATAAAGGCCACAAAGGTACCTGAGATTTGATTATGTAAAATATTCCCCTCTTTGTGCAGTTACTTTTAGTACAGGCCTGAATGTTCTTATTATCTGAAATCCAAACTTACCAGGCAAACACACATTATACAAGGGTTGTCTGTGATAAATGGTATCTGTAGAATTTCCCCTTCATTTTCACATTTTGCAACAGATCCTGAAAGAGAAACAAAAATTAAAAAATATTGACGTATCTCAATTCCCCCATCTGGTTTTGGATGCTGTTCTTGTTGCTCTCATTTAACCCCTGCTCCATTCCTGGCCTTCAACTTTAAATTCTGTCTCAATTTGCCCACTTGAAATAATCAAGGATGCTAAGCATTTCCCTAAGATTCCAAAGGGAACTGGGAAATGACTGGCCTTTTACTGGCGCACAAACCCAGACTCTCTTTGTGCGCCAGTTACAGCAAAGAAGGACGCTTTTTCTCTTCTCAGATGACGTGTGGAGAATAACGAGTACTCCATGCAAAGCAGGCTACTTCTATAATGATAGATCCAGAGCTCATTGAAATCAGTAGAAAGCTGTCCATTACACTCCAAGGACTTGGATCCAGAGCTCATTGCAAGCACTAAACCAAGCATCCTCCTAATGCGTGACAGCCAATTGGCGAGCGAGTCAAAATTAGCAGGCTGACTGTCAAATGGAATCAAATTAGAAATCCCTTTATGGCCCTAGAGCTGATTAGCCGGTATTGTGTCATGTTGGAATCGCTTCTCGAAATCTAACATCTAGCACTAGGAATTGATTTAGCGTTTCCCTGCATGCCCCAGATATCAATAAAATATAACACGGGGGTAGAGAGGGGGATACAAAGCGGGGGAGAGGGAGGGGGAGCACAGCTCCTCCGTTCATTCACCTGCCCCGAACCATGCGGTGACACCCGCAGCCCCCCGGTCCCCCCCGTCCCCCCAGGGACCCGAAGGCGCGTGGCTGAAGCAGGTGGGCTCCGCGTCCCCTGCGCCCCCTTACCTGTGAGCAGGGAGGAGGCCGGCGCCCCGGGGAGGCAGAGGGCTCCCAGGAGGACGGCGGCGGCGGCCGGGACGAGGCTGGGTGCTGTCGCCACCCGGTCCCCGCCGAGCCTGGGCATCATCGTCCCGGGCTGGGGTGCCGCCGCCTCCGGGACGCGCCGTCGGGTGGCGGAGCCCGGCCGTCCCCGGAGTGGCCGCCCCAGCACCGACCGGGAAAAGGGGGCGAAAGGGGGTCGCGGGGGGGCGTCGGGGGGTAGGAAGGGAGACGCCGGCCCGCCGGGGAGTCCCACCCCGCGGCGGCACCGGGGGAGGGGACTACGGGTGCGGGGAAAGCAGCTGTCAGCGCCTGCCCCTCGGCCCCGCACCCCCTCTTTCCATCACCCCCCTCCCCTGCCCGCATCCCTTCTTATACCTTCCTCTCCCCATAGTCCCTCCTCCGGCACCCCCCGGCCCCCATGCCGCCCTCCCCCCCGGCGCACACCCGCACGGACGGGCTGCCAGCCCCAGACCCCGCTCCCCTGCCGGCAGATGCCCGGCCACTCCCTCCCCGGCCCCGCCGAGCACCGCCCGGGCCGGCCGCGCCGTCGGGGCGAGCAGAGGAGGAGGAGGAGGAGGAGGAGGAGGAGGAGGAGAAGGAGGAGGAGGAGGAAGGAGGAGGAGGAGGAGAAGGGAAGGTAACGGGGGGCCAAGAGGGGAGGAAGCTCGGATCCTCCGGCGGGTCCGGTGCTAAGCGCAAAGCCAGGTACCTCCGGCGGGCTTGTGGCGATGCCATTTGGGCAGGGGAGAGGAGGAGGAGGAGGAAGAGAAGGAGGAGGAGGGACGGGCAGCGCCGCGGCTGGGATCTGCTCCCCAGCTCTCCGCGCCGCCGGCCCGGCCGCGGAGCTCCCTTCTCCCCTCCCTCCCTCCTTCCTTCCCTCCTTCCTTCTCTCCCTCCCCACCGCCTATGCTGCCCCCTCTCCCTCCGCAGCACACCCTCGGGGCTGCCTCCCAAGGGGCTCCCCCCGCCCGGCCCCGCTCCCTCCCCACCGCCGCCTCCTCCCAGCCGAACCTGCCCGCCAAGCCCAGCCGTCCCCAGCTCCATGGAGCCTTCAGGGTCCCTCCGGTGACATTTCCCACCCGCACGGCCGCTTTCCGCTGCTTCAGGGTCGTTTTGGCACGCAGTTTCTCCGCGCGCATCCCAGCGCCGGGCCGGTGCGGCACGGCTGGCCCCGCTGCTGTCACACACCAGCCCGCCTCGCCGCTCCTCTTCCTTCCACGGCGATGGTTCGCTGGGGGAAAGGAGCGTTCCCAGAAATAAACCAGGCTGATGACAAGCTGAAAAATGCTCTCAGAGTCGTACGCGTTCTTGTGTGCTTGCTTTGGGCTGGGAATGTGAACTGCTGTTTCAAAAGAGCTTGCAGTAGTGGCAAATCAGGTGCAGGCGGGACAGGACTACTTTTGCTTTAAATACGTTTTGCATCCCAGTCAGATGCAAGGCAATTAGGTTCGCCTGTTCGTTTTAAGAACTAAGCCCAAAAGACCTCTGGAAGCCTGCATCGTTGTTCTAAAATGTGAGATACGCACACCTCATTTCCAAGACCTACCATCATCCACCTTTATGGTAGGAAGCCAAAGTCCTTAAATAGCTACAACTGCCTATAATAGGGACTACAGAAAAAGTGATATTGGTAAAGTAGTAGAAATCACTAGCAAAATCCTCTCTATCAAAAAAGACTAAATATTTTATTTTTGTAATTTTTTTTCCCCGCCTTAATCTGTACAGGTAGCTGCATAGGCAGATAGGATAATTTAGCGGCAATTAAAGGAAACACATGCACAAAAAAAGGGGGTGGTGGGGAAGAGAGCATTTGCATTCTACAAAAATATAATTGGGATCACTGCATGAATATAATGCATGTGACCTGAATATATGTGTATGTATACATATTATGTTATTTCTGGTAAATGATTCATGATTCTCTTTCATTTACACAAAGATGAGCCTGTGGAGGTACATATTACATTCTACTGCAGACGAGATTTTCACTTGTCCACATGTTTTTTGTTTGTTTTTTTCACTATTGGAAAGATGTACTGAATCTATTGGCAAACTGGCCTTTTCTTGCTTCTCTATCTGTAATCAGTGGTTACATTTCCCTTTTGTAATTCCAGTGCACCCACAGACCTCCTAGAGCAACAGCCATTGCTACCCTAATAATTTCTGAAGTGACAACTACCACAGGAAAGTACTTATATCATTGTGTGCATTGAGTCTTCTCTTTGTGATGGTCTCAAATTCATTAAATATTAATGTCACCCGGTGTGAGAAACATATAAATCATGAGGACATCAAATAACAATTCAGGCTTCCAAATAACAGCAGGGAACTTGCTAAAATACTCTGCAAACACAGTAAGTTTAATCTCTTTTAACAAATGAAGACAAGAGGTGACAGCAACTGAACTGCACACTCAAATCATGCTATAACTCACCAGTTAACAAGAGCGTGTAATGAAACCATACCAAAGGCAGGGCAGTTACAAAGCAATGCACACAGATCTGCTACAGCATCTCCAATGCACTGATTCAGCCTAAAACTTACCTCTGAAACAACGTCTGTGAGATGAAAGTATGGTGAGTGCTCCATGGGGTGAGCTCACTGCCATTCTTTGGGCTTGCATCAGTATCTGGGGGAGGAATTTGCCCTTTTCTTCATTTCTTGGAACACCTGCTGAAATGGCAGCCTAAGCTGTGACATACCATGTCTATACGACACTTCACATGCTGTTGGGTGTCCAGCAGAAGAGCCTGCTGAGGACTCATGCTGCCTCTGAATCTCTTGGAGCCTTGGTTCCCCATCTCCCCCTCTCACTAGGGGAGAGGGGAAATGCTCACAGTTAGGAACAACCTCTGGTTCTCCCTGGTGTTGAGAATGGTGACACACCTCTGGGAAAAATCACTCTCTAGTTGAAATCTCTCATAAGGTGAAGCCCAGCAGGGAAGGGAAACATGGCCTTGCAATCCTCCCACCTTAGTGTCACCCATTCAGGGCTACAGGTACAGGCTTTGTCTCAGCTCTTTACCTCTCCCTTAACCTTTCTGAAAAGTCTGTCTTACCAGAGGTCTGAATCCTTTCTGGTCATAATGCTGCATTAAGAAAAGTTTCAAGGGTTTGTTTTTTATTTCCTTTTGCATCCCTATTTGAATGAGTACTTATTTAAATATATATATATGTGTGTATATTCAGAGCTGTGGTAACTTTTAGCAAAACCAGGGGGTCACACTGAAAGCTGTGTCCTGCTATTGGATATGCACAGAGACTTCTGTTATAACTGCTAGCATAAAATAAAATTGTGTCATTGAAAATCTTACCTCCTTTGCGTAAGCATCACATAGTATCGCTTCTTATTGAGGGGGTATGTTCATTCCTTTGTTTACTGGCCAACCTGGCTTCATTCAGCTTGATGGAGTGTTTGATGTCCACAAATATCTAGTTCATGTCATTTGGCTCTTTCTCCAGTGACACTTTCCATGGTTAATAATGTTAGCCATTAGCTGATGATAACAAAAGTTCAACTTAGCACCCACCTAAAATGAAGAAAGAAAAATAAATAAATAAATAAATAAATCTACAGTTAATAACAGTGAAGAAGATAGCAATCTCATTCATGTCTTTCTTCATGATCATCTGTTTTACTGGCAAATCAAAATAGCTAGAAGACCCATTATTTATTAACTAGAGAACTCTTCCAGAACTGAGGGGATGCACTGAATCATTAGAATTCACAAATATTTCCTTTTGCTCAGGAAATTCACTGTTCTAGGTCTTGAGCTTAGGCGGTCCTAAGGGTCCTTTCCCATGCAAGAAAGTATGCAATAAACATGCTACATAGGAATGTGTATATTTTGGTACAGGTAATGTCCCTTTTTATTATTTTTATGTTGTTATGCATTATTTTGATGCAATTTCTTAGTATCTATGAGACTTCTCAAAATATAGCATTCTTCACCTCTGAAAAATGCTATATTGAAGTCTACACTGAATATCTGTGTTTGTAAGGCAATGCATACACAGTGAAGGTGGTTTGCACATCACATTGAGTTTACCCCTTTCTGTTGTTACTATACTCTTACTAAACATAAGTATTCTCGATCCAATAACTTACACTATCAAAGTAAATGGAGCTGTGGAAGTGATAAGGTTCAACCCTACCAATTCTTGCTGAGAGACCTTTAATTTGGGGAAGTATTTTATTACACAGCAACTGGGAATCTTGGTAGTAACTCAAAGAATCACAATGTGGATGTTACCCTTTCATGTGGGAGAATGGAGGGGAGTTACTCTACTGTTCACCATCCAGTTGTCTTCACTACTGCCTTTCAAATGCTCATGTTATTGGTCATTCATTTCTGTGCTTAATCATTTTTAAAGTTGAGTATCTACCGGTGTGAACAAACATTATTTCTTGCATAGCCACTTCTCCTCCACGAGATAATAAAACTTGAGACTGGCCTAAGTATACTAAAGAGGTGTTCCTGACAAGCCCCCTTACTGCAAAATAACCAGAAACCAAAATGGATGTAAATGAGGGCTGGAGACCACATTAAGAGATTTTAAAACTGTGACCGGATTAAAAATGACATATGGCCAAAGTCCTTAAATAAAAGAAAACTACAAGAAAGTATCTAAAAGTTACAGTGAGACTTACTTGAATAAATGTTTATAAATTTTATCAAACAACCCATCATTTTGACAGTTTTCCATAAACTCCTGGAACATGCAAAGCATTTAATTTATTTGTGGCAAGATAAAGATAATGAGTAACATTTTAAAAGTTTATTAACATAGAATGTCCTGGCATGGTCAAACTTGCATACTTCTATTGTTTAACTTATGTTTTCTAAGAACTGAAAAAGTTAGCCTTACAAAAAGGAGTTTCTAATTACAAAAGTCTTCAAAATCATCCTCATCATCTGCACTTGTAGGAATGCAAACCGAATGAACAGAGCACAAATTAAACTGGACATAAATGCCACCAGTACATCAAACCATAAACAACAACAACAAAACTTAAAGAAAAAAAATCCTTGATTGCTACACAGAGAAGAAAATATCACTCTAATTATGGAGAAAATAGGTCATTGTAGTCTTTTATCACGTATGCTAAAAACAAACCCAAAAAGTACATGATGACAGAAATGGTGATATAGTCTTAACTATGGAAGACCCAGCAGAAGCTATTAAATAGGCTATAGGCCAAGCAAACAGAATAAACTGGCACATGCTTTCATGCCTTTTTGTTACTTCACTGATGTAAATACAGTTTGTCTTCCAGAGATAATAAAAAAATATTTTGTGTGAGTTATGTGTTTTCCTGTTAGGTTACCCTTGAACATCTGCTGTGCCCAATAAAGGATAAGAGCTAATGAAATCACAGAGAGTGACATGCATGTGGTATTCTTTTGCTTTGAATGTGAGAGAAATTAAAACCTGTGTTTTGCCCAGCTACTTTCCTAGCTCATGACTGCAAGAAATGAGCACTCATGAAACACGTACAATGGCAGAGTGATGACTGCAGATGAAGATGGAGCTTCCGTACACTACAAACAGCCACCCTGCATGCTCCAAAACCCTTGGTCCCACCCCCCAACACATAAAAAAAGGCTTGCTTATTCTTACATGAGGTTTTTCACTCCAGCCAGAATACAGTTCAAAAACAGAGGCCTCTACCAAACACAGAAAGGCAAAGGTTCATATTTTTGCAAAAAGCCAGGTTTCCAACTGCATGTATCCTGTAAGTTCATCACTTCTCCCAACAAAACCCTCCCAAGGGAGCTTTCATGTTGCTCAGCTCTTCCTGCTGCTGTTCTTGTTTTGTGGCAGAATTTCTCCCTGGGCTTTTCTAAATGACAAATAAAGGCTTAAAAACTCGGAGGTGACACTTGAGGAGCGAACGTAAGATGTCAAGTTAGAGCCTCCTCTTGTTCACGTGGGTGCCCTGATTCACACTCATATGAGTGAGAGAAGACTAAGAGCCATTAATTTTAAGTCATCTATAATAAAAAGGTTATAGCTTGTCGACAACGGCAGGCAAAAGGCAAGCTGTTGTGTGGGGGGATTGCTGGCAGATGGCAGTGTTGGGAGAGCAGATCTCCGCAGCGTGCAGCCGCAGAGCAGGGAGGAGATGGAGCAGCTTCCACAACTAACCTGAACCACAGATCTGTTTACAGCGATCTAATCCATATGTGCTAATATCTTGCTCCTACACGAGCGAAACGCTCTCTTGGGTTGTTCTCAGAATGTACATCCATCTGGTGTTGGATGCACAGGGCATTCGCTTTTACT